ACACCCACCCCCCACACCTCCGTACTTGGCTGCCTCCCTCCTCCCATCCCCAGATGGATGCTGGCCGCATGGCGCTGCTGGGGTACTCCTTTGGCGGCTTCCTGGGCGGCAGGGCCTGCTCCATGATGGGTGACGTGTTCAAGTGAGCTGCCCGCCTGCCTGCCTGCGCGCTGGAGCTGCTGCTGGCGCTGCTGCTGCTGCTCTGGCAGGGGGCGGCAGCCGGGGCAGCAGCTGGCAGAGGCACACCCGTGTTGAGCAGCGCTGCATGCTGCGGTGCTGCCAGCTGGGCATCTGGCTGGGTGTGTGAGCCAGATGGCGGCCCGGGGCCGTGTGTGTATGCGCGCTGCGGTGCGGTTGTGTGACCAGACTGGTCCCCACAGCTCGCCGCCAGAGCGGGCTGCCGGCCGCTGCACCATGCCCATTGCCCCTCGAAACCTCGCTCTTCCACAGCCGCCGCTAACTGTGCCACGCACACTACAGGGCGTGCGTGCTGACCCCCCCAGTGGCCTCCATGGCCGCCAATTACGAGAAGATTCTTGGCAGGGAGCTGTACGCGCCCTTCCAATACGTGCTCAAGGTAGGGCGGGACAGCGGCTTGTGCCGGCACCGTTGCCCCCGCCTGCACGCGTTGCCCGGCCTGCGCATGCACGCCTGCACACATGTCTGCACGTTTGGCAGAGTTGTGGCGGGCAGTGGGCGGCTGTCCGGTCCTGACACCTCGCCTGTCAGGCGCAGCGGGCGGCTTGTGTGCGCCGCCCTCGGCCCGTTGCTGTGACCCTGCCAGCTGGCTCCGCCCCTGCCTGCAGGCCAACGCCTCGCTGGTGCCCGACCAGATCCAGCCGCTGCTGGAGGATCCCATCGCCAGGGTGGGTCTGGGTGCATGTGGTGTGTGCTGTGTGCTCTGTGTGTGTGCGGAGGATCCTCCACCCCACGCTCTCCGGAGAGCGAGGGGTGGGCGGGTTTGGTGGCGATGCGCTTTGGATGGGTGTGCATGGATGGGGGCCTCCATTTAGGCTTCCTCCAATCCTTGCATTCCTCCATCCACGCTGCGCCTCCCCGCCTCATAGCGCCTCTCTGCCCCGCCTGTGCCCCCTCCGCCTGCGCCCAGATCCTGCGCCCGCTGGTGCTGGAGTGCCCGCCCGACTCCCCCGCCCCGGACCTCTTCAACATTCCCCTGGAGATGGCGCAATGTGAGCGCGGTGCAGGCCTGGGGAGGCGGGGGCTGCTGCACAGGTTGTGGGGGGGGGGTGGGTGACCGCAGCTACCCCTACCCAGCAGTTATGCCGCTGCTGGCTGCCGCCTCTCGAGCGGGCCCCCTTTGCCCGCCAGCGGCCACCTCGCCATGCCCGGCTGCGCACCACCACATGCCAGCTCACCACCACCCGCCCCCTCCCTCCCCCTGCAGCCCCGCTGGACCCAGAGCTCGTGTACTCAGCGGTGGGCTACGCGGGCCAGACGTCTGCAGACCCCGCAGACGTAGTGGACGCGCAGTGGGCCGCCTACCGCAACACCTTCACCAACTTTTCCAACCCGTACAATTCATTCATTCATTCAGCACACAGACCGGCCGCCTCTTGCTCGAGGGCGGCCCACTTTGGCCTGGGCAGCCCGGGCCGCCCTCCCCCCCGGGCGCATGTTCGGTGTTGGAGGGGTGTGCCCAGCGATAGGGGGCCCCTGAAGGCATGCGCCGAGGCCGGGAAGCGTGGTTCGGCGCTGCTGCACGCTTGGCGACTTGAACAGAACCGCGTGCCGCCGAGCTGCGGCCGCAGTTTCCGGCCCACGGTCTACGGCCGCAGCCACGGGACTCGGCGGCACGGCGTTTGGGCCCAAGCTTGCTGCCGGCGCCGCCGTGCCCGGGGGGCAGCGCGGCGGCGGCGGCACGCTGCGACGCCCCCGTGCTGCCGAGCTGCGGCCGTAGTTTCCTGCCAGAAGCCCACGGCCACAGCCACGGGACTCGGCGGCACGGAGTTTCGGTCCACGGCTTGCTGCCGCCGCCGTCGCAGGGGTGCTGCCTGCGGCGGCGGCGGCACGGCGTTTGGGTCCACGGCTTGCTGCCGCTGCCGCCGCCGCAGGGGTGCTGCCTGCGGCGGCGGCGTAGCGCACGTGGCAACCCCCCCGCGCTTTCCTTGCCTCCCATCCACCGGACCCCGTCCTGCGCTTTCACTTTGTTTCGGGAGGGGCTGCTCACTGCCTCATTGCTC